TACTTTCCACCTTATTTTATGATGCCAGTATTACCCTGCTACTAAACTAGACAAAGACAGCCCCCCCACTGCCCAAAAATTACAAACTAATGCACGTCATTAATATAGACACAAAAATCTTTAGCCAAATAATAAACAGAACTAAGCAATATATAACAAGAATTACACACCATGACTAAGTGAGGGTTAGTCCATGGATGTAGCAATAGTACAATATTTGCAAATCAAGGTAATCCTCCATATTAACCAGCTAAAGACAAAATCACATAATTATATCACTTGATGCAGTAAAACCATTTGTTAAAATTTAATAGTCATTCATGATGGAAATTTCTCAGAAAAATAGGAATAGGAGGAAACTTCTTCAGTCAGATACAGCTAACGTTATACTTGATGACGAAAGACTGAATGCGTTCCCCCTAAGATCAGGGGAAACACAGGATGTTTACTCTCATCACTCTTATTTGACATAGTTCTGGAAGTCCTAGCCAGTGCAATATAAGGCAATAAAAGGAAATAAAACACATACACAGACTGGAAAGGAATAAATAAAACTTCTTTTTTGTAAATGACACCACTGTCTACAGAGAAAAGCCCAAGGTATTACCAAAAAATCCAAACAAACAAAAAACAAAACAAACAAACCAAAAACCCCAATAAACAAACAAACTCTTCTTGTACCTAATAAGTGAATTTAGCAAAGTCCTAGGATTCAGGAGAAACATATAAAAATCAGCTGTAATTTCTATACATTAGCAATGAACACAATGACACCAAAATTAAAAAGATAACACCAATTACAATTGCTAAACAAAAAATGAAATACTTAGGTGTAAATCTAACAGACATGTAAATCTAAGAGACAGGATACTTACGCTGCAATTTGTCCCCCCTCATGGACACCTGTAACCACAGATAGTACCAGACCCTGTATGTATTGTTTTCCCTACACTAATATACCTACGATAAAGTTTAATTTATAAATTAGGCACAGTAAGAGGTTAACAACAATAACTAATAATAAAAAAGAAAAATTATAATACATACTACAATAAAAGTTATGGGAAAGCGGTCTGTTTCTCAAGACATCTTATACTCTTCCTCTTGTGATGATGTGAGATAATAAAATGCCTGATGAGAAGTAAGTGAATGACATAGGCATTGTAACGTAGCATGAAACTACTATTGACCTTCTGAGATGCATCAGGAGAAGGAGTGTCTGCTTCCAGACTGCAGATGACCGCGGGTAATTGAAACTGGAAGGTGGGAGGCATCAGGGGGGTGGGGGACTAGTGTACTATAGTAATGGACTGGAAAACTCGACATAGTAAAGATGTCAGTTTTTTCCTAAATTGGTATATGGGTTCAATGCAACTCCTAATCAAAATCAGAGCAGGGGCGCCTGGGTGGCTCAGTGGGTTAAAGCCTCTGCCTTTGGCTCAGGCCATGATCTCAGGGTCCTGGGATAGAGTCCTGCATCAGGTTCTCTGCCCAGTGGAGAGCCTGCTTCCCCCTCTCTCTCTGCCTGCTTTTCTGCCAACTTGTGATCTCAGTCTGTCAAATAAATAAAATCTTTAAAAAAAAAAATCAGAGCAATGCTTTTTTTGTAAATGTAAATGAGATTATTCTAAATTTTATATGGAAAAGCAAAGGAATTGGAATAGCTAAAATAATTTGTAAAGAGAAAGAAAGTGGGAGTAATCAGTCTAACCAATTTTAATCAAGCCTGTGAGATAGTGGTAGGACAGACACATAGATCAATGGAACAGAAGAGAGAACCCAGAAATGGATCCACATAAATATGTTAAATTGTTCTCTGACAAAGGTGAATGTGCAAAATTCAATGGAGGAAAGGCAGGCTTTTAACAAATGGAGCTAGAGCAACTAGACATCCATAAGCAAAAAGTTAACTCTGATCTAAGCTGCATATCTTGTACAGTAATCACCTCAAAATGTTTTGTTTTCTCTTTTTGTATTTTTATTATTTATTTATTTGCAAGTGAGTGAGCGAGAGCAGGAGCAGAGGTGAGGAGCAGAGGGAGAGGGAGAAGCAGGCCCCCCACTGAGCAGGAAGCCCTATGTGGGACTCAATCCCAGGACTCTGGGATCATGACCTGAGCCAAAGGCAGAAGCTTAACCAGATGAGTGACCCAGGTGCTCTCTCTTTTTTTTGCTTCTTATTTTTTCAATTTATTTTATCAAAGTGTATTGTTGACTTAAGTGTAAAACCTGAAACTATAAAACTTTTAGGAAAAAACTTCGATAGAAAATTTCTGGGATCTAGTCTTGGCAAAGAATTCTTAGACTTGACAGCAAAAGCATGATCCAGAAAAGGAAACCTGATACACAGGACTTCACCACAATTAAAAACTTAGGCTCTTCAAAGACCCTGCCAGGAAAATGAAAAGACAAGCTACAGACTGGAGAAAATATTTGCAAACCATGCATCCAACAAAGGACCAGTAGCTCAAATCTATAAAGAACACTCCACATTCAAGTTAAAAAGCAAACAATCCAATCAGAACACAGGCAAAAGACATGAAGAGATACTTCACTGAGTCAGATATACAGATGGCAAATAAGTACATGAAGAGCTGTTCAACATCATTAGCCATCAGGGAAACACACATCAAAACGGCAGTGATATGCCACTATTCATCTAGCGGAATGGCTAAAATTAAAAATGGGGACACCACCAAATGCTGGTGAGGATGTGGGGAAACTGGAGCATTCATTCATTGCTGGGAAGAAGGTAAAATGGTCTAGCTACTCTGGAAAACAGTTTGGCAGTTCCTTAAAAAACTGCAAATGCAACTATCATCTCACCCAGTAATTGGACTTCTGGGCATTTATCTGGGAGAAATGAAGACTTATATTCAAACAAAAATCAAAACATGAATGTTTATAGCACCTGTATTTGTAAGAGTTAATAAGTGGAAACAATCCAGACGTCCTTCAACAGATAAATGGTTAAACTGTGGCACTTCCATACCATGGGAATACTACTCAATAAATTTAAAAGTATCAACTAATAAATGCAACAACCTTAATGAATCCCCACAGAATTATGCAGAGTGCAAAGCCAATTAAAAAAAAAAGTTGCATATTGTATGATTCCATTTATATAGCATCTGTGAAATGACAAAATCATAGAATTGAAGAACAGATTAGTGGTTGTCAGGGGTTAAGGAGGGGGTGAGGGTAGAAAGCGGATATGCCTTTAAAGGACAGCATGAGGGATCCCTGCAGTGCTGGAAATGTTCTGTATTTAGACTTGTATGTGTCAATGTCCCTATCATGGTTATTATACTATATAGTTTCCATAAGGTGTTACTATGGGAAACTGGGTAAAGGGTACATGGGAACTTTCTGCATGATTTCTTAAAATTGTGAATCCATAATTACTTCAAAATAAAAAGTTTAATTAGCAAAACACTACTTTAAAAATCCGGGGATATAAAAGGCTATCGGCAATTACTATGAATTACAAAAAGCAGACTTCAGTATTTTAATTAAAAAAAAAAAGAGGAAATTAATTTCAGGTACTATTTATTATTAAGTCAAATTTTAGTTATGAATTGAGGAATGGAAGGGAAAGAAATGGGTTTTCATTCACAAATCCCAATTCAATTTCCAGGAGAAAAATCTATGGAGATACAGACAAACCTATATATCTGAAATAAACCTCAGCTCTTAAAAATTTTCATTTTAAGAAGGTTCTAAAAGAAATGCATTCCTTTATAGTTGCCTTTTAAATGTTATCTGGACCCCTCAGAAAAAATATATGGCATTTTTAACCAAAGTGCTTCCTTCACAGAATAGCTTATTCCAAAGGAGTGGGTCACAGGTACAGTTAAGGGGGCAGGGGGGCAGGTAGAGATGGAGGAATTAAAGGCATTTGTGGTAGAAGGAATGAGGCTCAGGGAAAAGCTGGGGCAGCTGGCCGAAGAGACAGTGGCCAGGCTTCACACCAGGTCTCCTGATGTACCACTGACTTCTGCACCCTGTATTCAAACCCTTGTTCTGTCTCCTTTCATTGAACTTGAAGTAAATGACACAATCTCTGTGTCACAATTTCCTCCTCCTCAAAAACGGAGATAAAATTTTCTACCTACTGTCAAACAGGATATTTGCAAGGATAAATATCTATACAGCTTGGAGGAGATGTTTGAAAGAAAGGTCCCAAGAAATTGTATCTGCAAAGGTGGTTCATTTAAAACATTCAATTGAAGTTCATTTTATATGAGCAAGCTTGCATATGGAAGACAGTAATTTCGAAGGAGACTGGAGGAAGGGAAAAACAAAATGAATGAGAATCAAACCAAGTCAATATCTTGTCTATATCTCCTTGGTTGTCCTCAGGTTACCCGTGGCAAATTCAGCATTGCCAAAGGCATGTGGTGCCCCAATCCACTAGCAAAACCTTCTCAATAGAATGGATTTGCCACAAAGGACTATGAATGGTTGAAAAACGAAACAAATAAATCAAAATCTCAAAAGCCTGCAAATCCACTAGGGACCCGGGGAGTGATTAAGCTCTTTGACCGCAAAATTCACAATTTACACTCATCTTTCTATGTCCCGTAGTCCATAACTTTGCATGTAACTGGTACTCGGCAAGTACTAAATTGAACAAATGTATACAGATACTACCTATTATTCCAAGTTTAAAGGAATATACTTGAAGTGTTTCAAAAGAGAGGTTTATTTATTTATTTAGGGGTATTTATTTAGCCTCAGCCTTGTAATTTATTGAACAAGGCTTTTATCAGTTTTTCAATTTATAAGAAGCTAAGTTATGTAAATAGAAACTTTTACTGATAATCTGAAGGAAAAAAAAAAAAAGCTTTCAGAGACAGAGCCTGAACCTGGAAGGCCATGGGGCTGGAATGTGAGAAACCCTGAGCTTGGACTGACAGCAGGTATAACAGCCTGCTTCTTGCCAGTAATTTGTAATTGGATTTTTTTTTTTAAGTTTTAATTTTCTAATATTTACTCACCAGTATCCAGTCTTGACTTGATATGCTGATACCGTGGATTCTGTGGTATTCTTTTGGTCAGATACTAAAAAATAAGAAAATTCACAAGTAACTGAGTTAATATAAAAGTAAGGGTGACAAAGGCAGGAAAGAATCAGATATTTAAAAAATAGAACGGATGCTAAAATTTCATCAAATTTAAAGAAGGAAGGAGCTCTAGAGGTCCAACTGTCCCTTCAGTCAAGAACTCTTCATGACAGCATTTCCCCAGGTGAAGATGGTTATCTTGTTTCTGTCAAAATATTTCCTTTTTTTTTTTTTTTTTGGTCAAAATAATCTCATAGCACGAGTAATTTGGGGGTGGGGGTGAAGAAAACTCTTAAAGATGATTTCTGACATTGAGCCAAATTAGTTTCCCTCTAAGTTCCATCCAATCCACTGTCACAACCCAGAATAAGACACCCCCTTCCACCCCTGCCTCAAGAAATCTGTGAAAATAACTAAAGGCAGCTCTCTCACCCTTTTTAGTTGTACTCTTTGTACGATGATTTCTAGGCCATTGCCCCTGGACACCCTCCAGATTTTATCCATCTCTTCCCTGAAAAGTAGCACTTGGACCCAGACCTGGGCACTGTGCCCAGATGCTGCCAGGCCAGGACCCGGTTTGGCAGTCCTCCCCTGCTGCTTGCCGGGGTTCTGAGGCTCCACAGATGTCACTACAATGGTGTCCACTCTTGGGGCAGCTGAGGCTCCTCTCGGCCCAGGGTAAGTCTGTGGTCATCCAAAAATGGCTATTGTCCTGTACTCTGGGAGTGAACTCGAAGTCCAAGCACAAGACATTTATGCATATTAAGTTTCAGGGATATTGGCGAAAGCCATCAAAGTGAGGGGAGGCTGGTGAATTGACATTTCCAGATACAGCTTTCTTGCTTGGGCCTTTTTCTGGCCTACAAGAATGAACATCATTCGCTCAGTCACAGGCAACTGTGGAACAGGAAACTAAAACTGGCCAATACGCTTCTGGCTTCATCTTCCGCCCCTCTCGCACGTGTTCCCTTATTGATGTTGCCCGAGTGCTCCCCTAACTTGCGGCGCTCACTTAAGTCTCCAGGCTTAACAAATGTCTGCCTAGAATGCCTTTCCTTGACTTGCCCTTAGGCAGAAACTTATTTCCAATGTAAGCTGTCCAAGGTGGAATCAGGCATTTCTTCTCCCTGGCTCCCAGAATACCCTGTATCCCTGTTTACAACCTGAGCTGCTTCTCTAGATTTCCTCTAGATTTCCTCAAATCTGTATTCATCCAGGACCTAGTACACGGCGGACACATTTACTGATATGCAGTCAACAAATGAGTATCTAGAATGCAGGGTATAGGGGCACCTGGGTGGCTCAGTTGGTTAAGTAACTGCCTTTGGCTCAGATTATGATCCCAGGGTCCTGGGATCAAGCCCCGCCCTGGGCTCCCTGCTCAGTGGGGAGCCTGCTTCTCCCTCTGCCTGCTGAACTCTCTCTCTCTCTGGCAAATAAATAAAATCTTATAGTATCTTATAATAATCCCCCGGTTCCTTGGAAGAGAATACCAAACTTTATTATTTTTAATTACTGTAATTAATTAATTAATTAGAGAGATAGTGAGAGAGGGGACACAAGAAGGGGGAGTGGGAGAGGGAGAAGCAGGCTTCTGGCTGATCAGGGAGCCCGATGTGGGGTTCGATCCCAGCCTCGGGATCATGACCTGAGCCGAAAGCAGACGCTTAACGACTGAGCCACCCAGGTGCCCCTATTATTTATTTTTTTAAGTAATCTCTATACCCAATGTGGGGCTTGAACTCATGACCCCGAGATTAAGAGTCGCTTGCTCTACCGGCTGAAAGAAAGAAGAAAAAACCGGATGGAGAACACCAAACTTTAAAACCTGTATCATCTGCCCTTGAAAACACAGTTAGCTACAGCATGTCCTGCTGGCCAGAGTTTTAGACTTCAGAGACCAGGAAGAATTTTTTTTTAAAACTGGGGGCACCTACAGAGAAAAATCAACATTTAATTTTGCCAAGAAAGGACATTAAAAAGAAAGCACAAAACTCATAACCACCATCTGATGTTTTAATACCTAAAACGTAAGAAAGAAAAAAAAAAATCCCAGAATAAAAAGATTGGTCTTTAAGTGTTATTAAAAAACTCATGACATTGTCTGTGTTTTCCATTTCACTCCAGGCAAGTGAACACTTAGCACTGGGCCTCAGATGTGTGTGTGTGTGTGTGTGTGTGTGTGTGTGTGTGTGTGTAACCCCTGAGCTATTTTATCCCTCAAAAAAGACTGGAAAACTTCAGTCTCCCTCTGACCAGCAAACTGCTGTCTTTAAGAGAAACTGACTCTGACATCGATTCCAACTCCTTCCTAGATGAAAACAGAAGATTCTTAAGTGAGAGAAGGGAAATATCTAAAGACTGAAAAGGGGAACTTTAGAATAAGATCCCCCCATAGGAAAACAATATCATAGCAAAACAAACCAAAAAACCCAAAAATGCAAACTAAAAAGCCAGGGAAATCAAGCATCTGGTAAACTGAGTCAAGAAAAGCTAATAGTAGAATTCCATTATCTTAGGCTAAGGGATTTTTTTAAATTTTATTTTTGTTTGGTACTCTGTACTTTCATAATTTCTATATGCTATTTCCTGTTTTTACTTTTGTTTAGTTTTGTTTTCCACTAGTTTCCTAGCAAAATGTCTTTTGAAAAACTCCAGGCTAGTCTGTGCTGAACCAAGGGGATTTGTCCATACCTAAGCCAACATAGCTAAGAAGTGAGGGTGTCTCCTGGGACCAGGTGTGGTGGCAGCAGAATGATGGGGGGAGAGAGTGTGGACAGCTGCAGTCGCTGGGCCCTTCCCGCCCCCGGTTTTCCCTTACAGAGACTAATGAGAAATCCATATGCTGCAGTAGAAAAATGTAGTGTCTCTTTTCCATTTTCCCATTTTGGACCCACTTCTTGTTCCTGACTTTCTAGTGCCAACTAACAACGTACAACTGTGCTTCACTCTAAGCAGACTGCCATAGATTTTATGGAACTGCCATACTTTTTTCCTTAAAATTCTTGTTTTGGGGGGTGACTATTTCTTGACCTACTGACCAACTGGCTTCTTTCAATTACATAAACATCATGGAATGGTGGAAAGTGAAAGAGCTAAGGAAAGAAGCTGTTTCAAGGACTATTCATTCATTCAACAAAGCCTTATTGAGCACTAACCATTCAGGCAACATTTACTGGAGGAGTGAGCTCCTGCACTGAGGACCACAGCCATCCAGTTCTCAGTGGTGCTGGGAAGGAAGATAAACCAACAAAGAGAAACCCCACTTTGCATGATGAAAAGGAGAGGGAAGCAGGGGACAGGAGCTTGCGGAATCAGTTCCTGATCCTGACTAAAAGAGTCAAGAGCCATGTCCTGAGCGGTGACTTCTGGGCCGAAATCTGATGGCCAAGAAAATCAGTCAAGCAAAAGGAATCGTGGGTGGAAGCAGCAGGGTTTTTGGGTGGACCCAGGGCACAGGGGGCAGCATGGGGTCAGATGAGACTGAAGAGGCAGGGAGGGCAGTTCCTCAAGGGCCTTGTATCCATGCTAAGAAACCCAGATTTTTTTTTTCTTTTCCTGTAGTTGACTAGTTCTTAAATGGCAATTTTGTTCCCCCTGCTCCTGGGGACAATTGTCAATGTCTGCAGATATTCTAGGTTGTCAGAACTGGGGGTGGTGGTGGAGATGCTACTGGTATCCACTGAGTAGAGGGCGGGGAGGCTGCCAAACATCCCACAATGACAGGGAAGTCCCCTACAGCAAAGAAGGAGCTGGCCCCAAATGCTACTGGTGCCGAAGTCGAGAAACCCCAGTGCAGATGATTGGGGAGTCATTGAAGACAGTTTAAGGAGAAGTGATGGGATCATCCTTCCATTCTAGAAATCTCACACTGGCAGCATTTTGAAGAACTAATGGGATCGCCGCCATCAAGGATGGAGGCAGGAAGATCAGTTAAGGGGTAGTTGTTCTAAGAAACGTCTGCGGTGCTAAGGGAGTGACAGTAGAGATGACAAAAAAGAGACAGTTTCAAGAAATCTTTTAAAGACGTAAAATCATATGATTGAAAACCGACTGGTATAACGGGGGATGACAGTGATTATCATTCCCCAAAAAAGTGACTTAAGGGGGAAGCATATATTGAAAAAAAACATTATGTTTTTCCTATTGAGGCATGTTAAGTGTGCGATGTCTGTAGGTCATTCAAAATGGAAGTGGTGGGCTGGCTGTTTGGGTCTGAGATCAGGGGGGAAATCTGGGGTTGCAGAAAAAGGACTTGGGGGTTGTTGGCATATAGGAAGCAGAGGAAGCCATACGAATAGACAAAATCACCATCAGAGATTGTGTAAGACGGAGAAGAAAAACCCCAGCACTTAAGGTCAGGTAGAAAAAAGCACCATGCATGAGACTCATGGGAGGCCAGAAGAAAGTGGGTCATGAAAACTAAAGAAGAGTTTCAGGAAGAAGGGAGTGATCAACAGTGATCAATGCTGTCAAGTCCGAGAACAAGAGGTCAAACATGAACAAGCGAGCAAGAATGCAGGTCAAGTAAGAGAATAACAAAGCAAATTTGGATTGAACAAAGCAGGACATTGTTGACGACCCTGGTGGATGAGGTTATAGCAAATAGATAGAAGCAGAAGCAAAAACAGCAGGTTGTAGGAGACCGGGAGGGAGGAAAGAAGATAGTAGCCAGATGGCCTTTTGTTTTTTTCCTTGAGAGTTGCTAAGGAATTCGTTTTTGTTGTTGCTTTGTTTTGTTTTGGAAGAAAGGAGAGATTTGAGGATGTTTAGAGGCTAGATAGGAGGGGTTGGAAATGAAGCAATAAGGCATGGACAAGGAGGGAGCGGGAGAGGATGAGGCCCAGAGCCCAGGTGGAAGGTTCTGCTTTGGATATGTATTTAACGTAAAGATATCAGATAGGTAATCATGATGAAGTTCATCGGGAGGATGGAGGAGGCTAAGAAAGTTCATGTCTGTGGTATTATCAGTGAGCAATGAAAAATGTCAAAGATCCT